ACTATTCTCAAGAAGCACTGATTCCACTCCGTCAGATCAGTAGTGCTGAAAAATGATGTGAGCACTAAATCACTTCCTTTTAATTCTCAGTAGTAAACTACTGCTGCTTACAACTGGTGATAGAGGGAGCTTGGCAGGGGACTCGTATCCTCTGCCATGGAATCTGGGTCCCATCTTAGAAGAACCTGTGAGTAGTTCTGACTGAGGTCTTATGAGATTTTGGTGGCCATTTTAGACATAGATGTGCTATATATAGCACAATCTGCATTACAAAGTGGGCCTGAAGTAAGGAAGTAAATGAAACAGGGACAAGAACTCGTTATGTTATTGGCCCCTGTTTAAGTTGGCCCTAGCATCTGTATGTATAAATGTGAGTTAGGGACCTTAGACTGTAAGCTCCTTAAGTGCAGGGACTAATGTGAATGTATAATATATATGTAAATTGTTGGCCCTATATAAATACCTGAAATAATCCTTTCAGGAGCTTAAACCACAACTCTAGCACTTGCACTACAAGGGTAATTGCTTGTTAAGGTCTAGGGGACACAGAAAAGAATATAAGAATGTTTGTTTACCTGATCCTCTGTTCCTTTGCGTTGCTAGACCAACTGATATAGGTTCTATAGCCCTTTGTTGGGCATGATGGCGCTGAAGGACAGTCCACCACTGGAAGCATGGGTGCAGAAGATCAGGTAAGTAAAAGTACTTCTCCTCTCTCTTCCTACACAAAATGAGCAGTTAACCCTTTAAAAGCCTGAGTTTTAGCTAAAAATAAAGGCAGGGAAAAATTAGCACAAAGGACGTGACTTACAGTTTAGTATTAAGTGTCCCTTGTGGCAAATCTTCTTCTTCCATTAGAAATCACCTACTGTTGGATGTTGGATGTTAAGGAAGGGGGCAAGCTTTGTGTAATCGCCTGTATTGGCGAGAGCTGCATTCTTGTTCTCTATTCGTGTTTTCTGCTAAACGTGCCTGTCTGTTTGAAGTGGATCTGAAGAAGATTGCTTCCCTACTGTTCCTGCCAGTTTTACATAGATAGAGCTATCTTAAAGGATAGTGGTGTTGCTTCTTTTTCTGTAAATTTCTCCCTGAATAACTACTTGCTACACACTGTCACCTGTACTTTATAAAAAGTATTAAATTTAGCATATTGATCACCCACAGACTCCAGAAGGCTGACATGAAAATTATCGCGCAGAACTGAAGCTGCTACCCGTAACACATATCCACACCCGAGAACTAAGCTGCCACCTATAATACGCAAACGAAAGCCGCCACCCCCATAACACCATCCAGACCACAAACTGAAGCCGCCCACCCTTAACCAAACAACTGCATCCAGGGCCATCAACTGGAGCTTGCTACCCATAACTGGACACATCCAGACCAGAACTAGAGCTGCCCACCCATAATACGCATCCAGACCAGAACTGGAGCTGATACCCCATAACACACATCCAGACCAAGACTAGAGCTGCCACCCATTAATACGCACCAGACCAGAAAACTGGAGCTGATACCCATAACACGCGTCCAGACCAGAACTGGAGCTGCCAACCCTAGCATGCATCCAGGTCAGACTGGAGCTGCACCCATAACCACACATCCAGACCAGCATGGAGCTGCTACCCTTAAAGCACATCCAGACCAGAACTGGAGCTGCCACCCATAACACGCATTCAGACCAGAACTTGAGCTGCCACCCATAACACCGCATCCAGACCAGAACTGAAAGCCGCCACACCCATAACTCATATCCAGACCAGAACTGGAGCTGCTACCCGTAACACACATCCAGACCAGAACTAGAGCTGCCACCCATAATACGCATCCAGACCAGAACTGGAGCTGCTACCCATAACACACATCCAGACCAGAACTGAAGCCGCCACCCCATAACTCATATCCAGACCAGAACTGGAGCTGCTACCCGTAACACACATCCAGACCAGAACTAGAACTGCCACCCATAATAACGCATCCAGACCAGAACTGGAGCTGCTACCCATAAACACACATCCAGACCAGAACTGGAGCTACTACCCATAACACACAACCAGACAGAACAAGAGCTGTCACCCATGATACGCATCCAGACCAGAACTGAAGCCGCCACCCATAACACACATCCAGGCCAGAACTGGAGCTGCTATTTGTAACACACATCCAGACCAGAACTAGAGCTGCCACCTATAATACGCATCCAGACCAGAACTGGGAGCTGCTACCAATAACACGCATCCAGACAAGAACTGGAGCTACCACCCATAACATGCATCCAGACCAGAACTGGAGGTGCCACCCATAACATGCATCCTGACCAGAACTGGAGCTGCCATCCATAACACGCATCCAGACTAGAACTGGAGCTGCCACCCATAACATGCATCCAGACCAGAACTGGAGCTGCTACCCATAACACACATCCTGACCAATCTGAAAATCTAACAAGTAGCCTTATTGGTTTGTATGGATAATAGCTCTATGTTTCCTTCTTGTGTAGCTGATTTATAAATTGGGTCGAATGTTCAATAAACAGCGGATAAGATTGGTTAGCATTGATTCCATTTTTGCTTCAGGCTTGCTGTCTGCTTTAACCCGCCCATTAGTGTTTTTCTTCCATTTCTTGTTGCCATCAAAAGATAATTTTTTTAATTAAATATTTATGCTGAGTTGTTCTGTGCTACAGATCTAACAAACAAACACAAACAAAACTTAATAGGCATTTCATCTGCAAGGTTATTGTGATCTCATCTCATAAATTATATTATGCAATAGAGACAAGGCCACTGCAGAATTTTATACACATACATAGGCATGCTATGTTTTTACTGATGGGAAATTTCTGTGGGCCACAACGGGATTATCCTATGGCCACTTATACAGCTAAAAAGTAATATATGATGAGTCTCCTACCAATAAGATCTGTGATTTTTGCACTGCCAAACAGACCACATAGTTTCTTTCCTTTGCTCTGTTTCAGTGCATATGCAAATAAATTATTTATTTTGTTTTCTTTCCTATAGGGAATGATCATTAATTTTTGCTTGCAGCTTTAGACCCCTTTCACGTGGGTATTCGATCAGGTCAGTTTTTATGGCAGACCTGATCAGAAATTCCATGTAGCCCTATGGACAGGTGAATGTAAACAGACTTGTGTCCATTCACACCCACGTAGTCTGGATCTGATCAGGTCCAGCAAAAAACAAAAACAAAAAAAAAAAAACCACAGTCCCTTTTCCATTTTGGAGGACCAGATCAGAGGTAGCCTGATGTAAAAGGACAGCTGAGTCTGTTTACTCCTAGCCACCCAAAGAGCTAAGTCTGGTATGTCTGTGTCCACTCTGCATAAACTGAGTTGGCATGGATGTGACATCTGTCCCACTAGGCGCCGATCAGCTGGGGATCTGCTCACAGATTCCCTGCTGATCAGGGGGGGAATGGAGGTAGTCTGATGTAAACAGACACAAGTCTGATTACATCCGACTGCCCATAGAGTTATCTTGGGTCCACCTGTGTGTGCTGTGTAAGACACACATTGAAGGACATTGATGTCAAAACACTGACATGTGACCCTGTTTGGCTCTAATTCAGGGGATTTGCTCATGGAACAGAGTGGCTCTGTGTGAAAGAACCCTTAGGGTGGAACAGCTTAGGGTGAGCATAGTTATATAAGGGTGCTGGATCCTGCAAGCACAGTAAAAATGTCTAAACTCTAGAGCAATGTCTAATGGCAGATTGTCCATGAGCATACAATAATTGCGGGGAGAAGGAGGGCGAAGTGAGTGGACAACTTATTTCCTCTGGGTCATCTTGAAGGAAAGACACGATTTTCAAATGTGTGAGATTGATTTCTACCCCAAGTATAGTGTGCTGTGATATTTCTTCCACTGCCATAGATGTGACAGTGTTGTCCAACCTGACTAATATTGGCTGGATTGGGTCCTGGTCATCTTATGTCTTTGTCGAGCTGTAGGTCAGGTAAGCTACAGAAATGGACATGACGTTTTCTTTGAATAAGAGGGACACTGATCAGATTGGTGAATAATGTTTCAGTGAAATCATACTTTCCACTAAAGTCATGCAGGCAGTATTTGCCTGGTTACAACACAATAATCAACAAGCTAGAGAGTTACCAGAAATGCTGAAGCAACAAATTATTGTCAGCATTTTACAGTGACCAGTGAGTGCACATAGAGCACTTGTTCCCTAGCCCCCGAAGTCAGGGGCCCAGGGAGAACTGCTATATCTCTATAGAGGATGTAGTGACATTACTCTTTCCTTTTTAATCCCTCTACGTGTTGCTTAAGTTAGTTTCAGCAGGGACTAGCCAAATTTCAATCCATCTATGAACAGGCTGGTTGTACTGAAGTCAATCTATCAATTGACTCCAATTTAACCAGCCTGTCGTGTTTTTTCATGTGATCACTGTGGCAGCTATAGCTATCAGCAGTGATCATTGTATTCTGATGCTGGGGAAATCTCTTGCTGTCAAAATATAATAGGGCAATTGGAGGGATTCCGGCATCAACACTGACTGTGGTAATGGAGGAATTGACTGGTGTATGGCCAGCCTTACTTGTTATAAGTTACTTGTTTACTTAAAATGGCTGAAAATACAGCCCCCTATTCTGATGAGCAGTGTAAGGCCAAAGGCTTACAATTTGACTAAATATATATTTATGGGATATATGGTGTCACTGCAAGGCACTGTAGCTTTTAATTTTTTTTTTTTCTATAATGTGGTCACAATTGTTTCTCATTCTGACTAGCACAGAGTTTAGTCTCCCTTGCTGTACAGCTTACCTTGCTATTCTCCAGTCTAAGGCAGAGATGTAGGCTATCCAGTGATGGACTAGAATTTGAAATCCTACAGATTTTTTATTCCAGATTGTCATGAAAGTGTTCTATATTTACAGAAAGATGTTTAGTGTACATTAACGTGTAAAATGTACATATTCGTACATATTCCTACCATCACTTCGTTTTTATGTTTCCAGATCTGCTTCAATGCCCAGGGCACACGCATCTTAACGGCCAGCTCAGATAAGACTGCACGTCTATGGGACCCTCAGACAGGACAATGTGTCCAGGTACTAGAAGGACACACAGATGAGATTTTTTCCTGTGCTTTCAACTATGAAGGAAACACCATCATTACGGGTAAGTCTGTTGTTTCTGTTACAACCTGGTTGGTATTGCAGTCTCCTTTAGATCTAACAACAACTATGTAATTGTACAACATACTATAGATCTAAAGAAGATTGCACAATCAGAAATATGTGGCCAGCTAAAGGTGATTCGTCTGATATAAAGAACAGAATTGTGTCTTTTTTGTGTAATATTCCACATAAGCAATTTTGGAGAAAAAATTGGTATGTTTTTGAACAATTTACACCTTCAGCCATGTAAATTGAAGGATGAACATTTCTGAAGCGTTCATGTCACCAAGGATGGGATTATGTAAGTAGAACAGTGAGGTTTCACAATCCTCACATCTCCCATTTTATTCTTGGACAATCACATCTGCCTTACCATGGTGGTTGGATTAAGGTGTTGGTGCTACCTGCGTGTACAGTGAGGAACAGAAGTATTTGAACACCCTGCAATTTTGCAAGTTCTCCCACTTAGAAATCATGGAGGGGTCTGAAATTCACATTGTAGGTGCATTCCCACTGTGAGAGACAGAATTAAAAAAAAAATCAGGAAATCACATTGTATGATTTTTAAATAATTTATTTGTCTTGCACTGCTGAACATAAGTATTTGAACACCTGAGAAAATCAGTGTTAATATTTGGTACAGAAGCCTTTGTTTGCAATTACAGAGGTCAAACGTTTCCTGTAGTTCTTGACCAGGTTTGCACACACTGCAACAGGGATTTTGGCCCACTCCTCCACACAGATCTCCTCTAGATCTGTCAGGTTTTGGGGCTGTCGCTGAGCAACACGGAGTTCCAGCTCCCTCCAAAGATGTTCTACTGGATTTAGGTCTGGAGACTGGCTAGGCCACTCCAGAACCTTTATATGCTTCTTACGGAGCCACTCCTTGGTTATCCTGGCTGTGTGCTTTGGGT